ATAGGAAAAAGTATACGAAAAATACTCAACAACCCTAAAGAATAGCATCACCTAAAGAATAGCCTAATCTAACAGCAAGACCCATTAGGCAATTTTTTTTTTTTTTAAAAAAGAAAAAACTCCACGTGATTTGAGAGCTCCTGGCAACACAGTTTGAATCATTCTTCTTCATCCTCCCTTGATTCAAACTCCATAACTCCCAGCTTGTATCTGAAGTAGACAAACTTCTCTCTGGATAGTGCCTTAGTGCATATGTCTGCAAGTTGTTCATGGGTGCTGTAGTATTCAAGGCTTACCTGCTGCTGTTTAATCATCTCTCTGATGAAGTGATACTTTAACTCAATATGCTTAGAACGATTATGCATAACAGGATTTTTGGATAAGTTGATGGCAGACTTATTATCACAATAAATCACAGTGGGCTCACTTTGTCTAAACCCAAGATCCTCAAGAACTCTACGAAGCCAGATTGCTTGACAAGTAGCACCAGTAGCTGAGATATACTCTGCTTCAGTACTTGATAGAGCTACAGTGTGCTGCTTCTTTGAACTCCAAGCAACAGCACCACTRCCTAGTGAGAAAACGTATGCTGAGAGGCTCTTTCGATCATCAACACAACTGGCCCAGTCACTATCACTGTATCCCACCAACCTGATCCCTGCAGACTGCTTATACCATATTCCMAAGCTCATAGTACTGCCAATATACTTTAGAATTCTGCGAGCAGCTCCATAATGAATTTTGGAAGGCTGATGCATAAATCGTGAAACCAGACTTACTGCATAGGTCAAATCTGGCCTAGTGTGAGTCAAGTAAATAAGCCCTCCTACCAAACTTCTGAATGCCTCCTCATTAACTTTATCTGCTCCATCATTGAGCAGAAGTTTCTCATTGCAATTCATGGGAGTATTCTCTTCCCTGCAGTTGCTCATTCCAAATCGAGATAACAGGTTTTGGGCATACTTTTCCTGACAAAGATAGATTCCTTTGTTGGTCTGCATTACTTCAAGACCCAAAAAATACTTCAACAAACCCATATCAGTCATTTCAAAGGTCAGCTTCATTCCCTGCTTGAACTCACTGATCAAGTTATCACAAGAGGATGTGCAGATGATATCATCTACATATAAACACACATAAATGACATCATCTGTATTATTCCTTTTGATGTATAAAGTAGGCTCATTGTGACTCCTTTTATAACCATTCTCCATGAAGTACCCATCAATCTTTGCATACCAAGCGCGTGGAGCCTGCTTTAGTCCATACAAGGCTTTATTTAGTTTGTAAACCATGTCAGCCTTTCCTCGAACAACAAAACCTTCTGGTTGTTCGACATATATTTCTTCAGACAGATCACCGTTTAGGAAGGCCGACTTCACATCTAGTTGATGAACAAACCACCCCATCTGAGCTGCTACAGCAAGAACTACTCGTATGGTTTCAAATCGAGCAACTGGAGCAAACGTCTCTTGAAAATCAATACCTTGTTGTTGAGAGTAACCCTTGGCCACTAGCCTTGCTTTGTGCTTTACTACTTCACCATTAGCTCCAAGTTTGGTTTTGAATAACCATTTAACTCCTACTTTGTTTTTGCCCGGCGGAAGAGAGACCAACTGCCAGGTTTGATTTTTTTTCAATGGCCAACAATTCTGCATGCATTGCTTCTTGCCACTTCTTGTGTTGAGAGGCTTCATTGTACGTGAGTGGGTCAGAAACAGTAAGAGCAAATTGACAAGAAGCAATCTCGCCTTCTTCTTCAGACAACCCTTCTCCACTATGATAATCTTTAAGCCATGATGGAGGATTAATTGTTCTTCTCAAAGGACCAGATGCATGTGTAGATGTGAAGGTAGTAGTACGGGGCTGGTGGATTGTAGTCATTGGAGTAGGAGTTGACTCAATTGTAGTAGGRGAAGTACTAGTATCATTAGGCATAGTACTAGGAGTTGACTCAATTGTAGTAGGAAAAGTACTAGTATCATTAGACATAGTACTAGAAGATATGATAGGTGATTCATCAGGAAATGGGTCAATAAAGATATAGGAGTGGTTGAGTGTTGCTTTCTCTTGGCCCCACACCCACTTWGAATCTTCAAGAAAGATTACATCTCTTTTGGTAGAGATCTTTTTTGTGTCAGGGTTGTACAATCTGTACCCATGGCTTTGACTTGAGTAGCCAATAAAAATATTTTTTTCAGACTTGTTGTCTAACTTTTTTTTCAGCTGAGAAGGAATTAAGCCATATGCAACACAACCAAAGACTTTTAAGTGAGAGACAGTAGGTTTTTTACCTGTCCATGCTTCATATGGAGTCYGATTTACAAGAGCTTTAGTAGGTGACCGATTAAGTACATAGATGGCAGTAGCAGCAGCTTCAGCCCAAAGGAAATTAGGTAGCTCTYTTTCCTGCARCATGCTTCTTGTTAAGTTCATGACCGTTCGATTCTTTCTTTCCACTACACCGTTATGCTGAGGGGTGTAGGGAATGGTAAGTTCTCTTTTGATTCCAGCTTTTTCACAGTAGGAATTAAATTCTTGTGAACAAAATTCGCCCCCCCGGTCTGAGCGAAGGACTTTGATGAAGTACCCACTTTCTTTTTCAACCATTACTTTAAAGATTTTGAATTTATCAAATGCTTCATGCTTATTAGCCAAGAAGTAGACCCAACACATTCGAGTTAGATCATCAATAAAAAGCAGGAAGTACAAGCTGTCACCTAGGCTTGGGACTTGCATAGGTCCACACAAGTCTGTGTGAATCAACTCCAGTTTATTTTTTGCACGCCACGATGTGGACTGAAAGGGATACCTTGCTTGTTTACCTGTGATGCAAGCTTCACAGATTACAGATGTTCTGAGTTTAGGCAGCCCCCACACCATCTTCTTGTTGTATAGATGTTTTAGCCCTTCAAAGTGCAGGTGGCCAAATCTGCAATGCCATCGAAGTGCTTCATCATCAAATTTGGAGATGAGAGCATGAGTTGAAGTCAKCCTTGCATCGAAAATAAACATGTTGTTATTTGCCACTGCAACCTTCATCACAATCTTTCCTGTTATTTTGCTCCTGATTACACACATATCATCATCAAATTGTAGTGAATAACCATTCTTCATGAGTTGCCCAACAMTGAGAAGGTTGTATTCAAGCTTGGGGGMATAATAGACATTGTCTAGTATCTTGAATGTACTGTCACTTGTATAAATCTTGACAGTCCCTTTTCCTTTAACAGCCACTTTCTTTTTGTCACCCAATCGCACTTCCAAATGGAATGACTCATCCATGCTCACAAAGTTGTCTTTGATTCCKGTCATATGATTTGAACAACCAGAGTCAATGAACCACAAGTGATTAAAGTTGTTGGATTTACCAGTGTTGGTCACTAGCATGTATTGATCATCTAGAACAAACTCTTGTGGTGAGATGACAGCCAGTAACARATGTTGATCATCTGTTTCTGCCGCTTCTCCATTTTCTTCATTTTCTGCTACATTGACTTGATTTTCATTGTTATACCAGCAATCCTTTTTAAAGTGACCAAATTTTTTGCAGACATAGCATTGAGGGACCTTGCTTCTGTCAAAGCTGCCCCTTCCACGACCKGCTCCTCTTCCTCTAAAGCCTCGATCCCGTCCTCTTCCACGTGAGAATTTGTTAGGACCTTGAACTACCTGAAGAGCCTGCTCATCTTGTCGATCAGGTGTCTTAAGTGGTTTATCAAGAGAGGCTCGACTGTTGATTCTTTCCTCTTGTGATTGTAGAAGTCCCATAAGTTTAACGGGGGTGACATCGGCCAGATCAAACATCACTTCGATGGATGGTATTACATAGTCAAACTTAGGAGACAAACTCCTAAGAACTTTCTCAACAATCTTCTGATCTGTAAGTTCTTCTCCGTATGATCGTTGCTGACCAACATTATTCATAACACGAGAGAAGTAGTCACCTACTGCCTCGTCATCTTTCATAGATAGATTTTCAAACACCCTCCGTAATCCTTGCAACTTAATTGATTGGACTTGAGAATCACCCTGAAATTCTATTCGAAGAATTTCCCATGTATTCTTTGCAGAGTCGGCTGCCGCAATTCTGGAAAACAGGMTGTCATGTACACCCTGYTGGATGATTGTCATAGCTTGAGCGTCTTTTGTTTTTGCCTCTCTATTATSACCGTCTCTGTTATTTGTTGCTGTGAGACCCAGGTATACAACATCCCACAAATCTCGTGATCGAAGGATAGTTTTCATACGAAGACTCCAGTGTTCATAACCTTCTCCTTTGAATACTGGAATGATCACAGAGGTAGTGTGTGATGTACTTGACTCAGCCATTGAGAGATGAATCAAGAGAAGATGCTAACCTGGCTCTGATACCACAAATGTTGATATAAGAACACAGAAAAGGATCGATAGAAGAACAAAGTATTTGGTAACCAGGGAACTC